TGAGCAGAAAGAAGCACAGGAAGAATAAATCAGAAACAGAGATTGTTTACCCACAGGAGGTGGGCAGAAGGGATGGAGAGATGAGTCGGATTTTTTATGTAGTTTTGACTATGCTGCATTTTGTCACAAAAAATAAATAGGAGAGGTGGTGAATAAAGCAAAATAGATAAAAACAATACAAATGAACTGAAATTATATTTCAAATTAACTCCAAAATTAGACTAAAGAGAAAAATAAAATAAATAACCAAAGCAATTCTTAAACCCAGAATTTTGTCTATATACTCCCACAATTAAAAATAGTTTAAACAATGTTATAAGCTGTTGAGCATCATTAACAGTGGTGTGAGTTCAAGATTCTGAAACACGTTACCATATATCCAAAGACTCAGCAACTAAATAAACACGGAGGAAAAGGGTTTCACTCTCACGCTTGGGAAAAAGAGCTCTGTACATGGAAATGGAGAGGCTGGAAAGGACTCTATGGTGTCAAACCAGAACTGGAGCTATCAATCAGAAATCATGGGTTTTAAAATGTATAGATTGTAATTTATAGGTTTATATTAACATCTATACTGTTCCCTTCCCCATTCTTTCTGTGCCACTCCTGACCCATCTCCTGTGGTAAAAATTTCCTTTAGTTTCTTAATTTCTGATTTTTTCTTCTGGTGTCTCTTTTATACATATTTTCCAGTTGGCTTCCTGTGATCATTTAGTATTTTTGTAAGTAATGAAGACGCCAAAAGTTTCAAAATAAATAACACTGGTAATGTATTATAACTCAGAGAATAATAATCCATGTATCCATAATGATATAAATGAATAAATAAAGAAATGACTGCAGAATAAGGGTAAGTTCCTTCTTATAAAGGAATATCAACTTACACCTGCCAGAATGGTTCCTATCAATAAATCAACTAACAACAACTGCTAGCAAGGTTGTGGAGACAAGAAAAACCTAGGGCACTGTTGCTGGGAATGCAAACTGGTGCAGCCACTGTGGACAACAGCATGGAGTTTCCTCAAAACAATTAAAAATGGAATTGCCTTTCGACCCAGTGATCCCTCTTCTGGCAATATATCCTAAGAATCCCAAAACACCAATCAGAAAGAATATATGCACCCCTATGTTCATAGCAACACTATTCACATTTGTTAAGATCTTAAAACAGCCCACGTGCCCATCAGCAGATGAGTGGATAAAAAAGCTGTGGTGCATTTACACAATGGAATACTACATGGCTGTATAAAAGAAGGAACTCTTACCCTTTGCAACAGCATAGATGGACCTGGAGAGTATTATGCTAACAAAATAAGCAAGTCAGAGAAAGACAAATACCATAGGATCTCACTAATATGTGGAGTCTAATGAACAAACTGATGAACAAAATGGAATCTGAAGCATGGCTAAATAGAACAGAAAGGCAGAAACCAGATGGGAGAAGGCTTGGGGTGACCAGATAAAGAAGCTGAAAGTATTAGCTAAAGAACATATTTGGGTACCTCATGGACACAAACAATAGTGTAGTGAAGGCAAAAAAGAGGGAGGAGAAGTGACAAGGGGCAAGTCTGCAATAATGTCAACATTAACATTTTATTCATAAAAAGAAAAAAGTATAACTAAAAAGGAAGAAGAAATGAAAGAATTAGAAAACTCACCGTTAGACCACCATATTTGCCATGTAGGCATCAGCAATGGATTTGAATAACAGTGGGTGAGATTTTAATAAGAAAAATGTTAATGTTATAGTATCACAATAACTACCCAAATGATACCTATTAATTACAAATTTAAAAGAGTAACTTAAAAAATGGTAACATTTTAGTGCAGACACCACCTTAACCAATTGATCAAAGATAAAAACTCTAGTAATTGGAAAAATTAATATCACAAGCCTTCTAATTATATCCAATGTGGTATATATGCCGAAAACAAATGCTGAAAACAAAGCCTGAAACATATATGTATATATGCATACACACATAGAAGGTAAACGTCATAAAATGTTAACCATTAGGGAATCTGCCTGAAGCCTGTCCAGGTTTTCTTGAAACCATTTTCACAACTTTTCTATATCTTTGAAATCATTTCAAAATAAAAAGTTGAAAAAACTTTGTCCCAGCTGGAGCAATGCCCAAG